CTCCCCACCCCTCATAAATTCCAATATAGTCTCAATATTTTCCAAGCCCTTGATTGTATTTGAGCTATGTTTTTTTTTTCTTTTCTAAGCATTTGACTCTTTTTGTTTCCAGATCTGTGATTTCAACTCTATTTTAGTCCCTGAGGACGAAAAGAAGAAAACTCAATTGAACAATGCTTACGAGGTTTGTCATTTGACCTCTTCGTACTTGGGCATAACGTATTCCCATTTCAACCTGAATTTTTCTGAAAATAAGGTTTATGACAGTGTTTTAATAATTGCAGCTGAACGTAGTATAAATCTTAATCCTTCACATCTCTAGCTATTTCTTTTTTTTATATATTTTTTCAGCAAGCCCTTCTCAAGCCTCATCTCAAAAGCAAAACACMACAGCAACAATCATGGCGTTCACACCAACCTTTTCTTGTGGACGATAAACCAAGAATAAAACTAGTGAGCCAAATTAATCAATGTATTTTTTTAAAACAAGTCAAGTTTGGTCAGAAGTCTAAACGTAAATTTAGTATAAAAGCATTGAAAATTCATGAACATATTTAAAACTCATGTTTCAGGTAAGCAGACATCAGCAACGTTCTGTGGAACTCACAGACCACTTAGATCACTCACATAAAAAGGTACGAAATCTTCATTGCTTTTTCTTTCTTATACGCATTAATAGTACCTGACTGTCAACGTATATCGCTGCCTTTTCGTGCCCATAAAATATGGTTTAGTTACAAAACTGTTGACCAAAAAGCCGCCATCTTGTTTTAGGCAAGGAAGTGTCCCATGAAGCACTGCAATACGAAATGGCGGGAAAAGAAAGCCGAATGTCACAAAACACGTGGCAATTTTAAGGGAACTCCCCAAATAATATATAGTCTTTTTTGTCTCTATTTTCTTTCCTTCTTTTCTCTATATTTCGCACAGTTTTACTTCTCCAAAATATTATACTAGGAATTGCAGTCAGTTGTTGAAAATTTCAACATTGCACTTTGCAGGAATGGCTGCTTGGATCGGGTCAAAAAATATTTAAAAAGTTAGTTTTCTTTGCTCCARTCATATTTATAATTTAACAATTAATATAGATTGCGTGATTTTCTATTTAACAGGTTCTTAATGCTCGTTGTGGTCGAACAGGAAGGACCGGACGATCATTCATTGATCTGAATGACRTGAAGAGAAAAGAATCTCCGAAATTTCGACGAGAGGTGAGATGAATAACGAAATCACTGTGGGAAAAGTATGTCACAGAAGTGCTGTGCCGTGACCGTTAAGATGCCATGTCCAGGCATTTTAATTTCTGATAATATATAAATAAAAAATAATTGATATTTCTTAACCGACAGTTTGAAAGTCCTTTACTTGTTTGGCCGACGACAAAAGAAGAGCAAAGTAAGGAAGGTTTTGGTTCTTTATTTTGGTTATTTGTTTTAGTTTGATTATATTCTTTAAGGCGGGGTAACTCTCTCTCTCTCTCTCTCTCTCTCTCTCTCTCTCTCTCTCTCTCTC